AAAGCCATGCTTCCTTTGGTCACAAAGGACTACAATCTATCTTTCGAACCACTGGACCAATTTGTATGATGTTGACGTATGTTTGTATTCGGAGTATGCTGATTCTGAAAATGTAATGTTTTATGTGAATGTGATGCATACTTTCAAAGTTATGAATAATGTGGAAAAATTGTATTTCTCTGCTTGTTATAATTACATTACCCATTGTGTAAGGTAATTGTATCACAGGCAGAGGGGAGGATTTTGTGTGGGAGTGTCTGAGTGTATTATATGTGTTTATTGGTTGTGTTCCAAAACCCTGTGGGTGGTACTAATGTGTATATAAGAACAATAAACCCACAGCTCTGTCTGTTCACTGCTTGACCCTCAACACGGAGCTTTGTCTCGTTCTTGGGGGGATTTACTGCATGCTGTTCCAGTTTGACCGCTAGGAGTGTAAACCTATTTGTATGGTTTTTCCTATTCGGCTGTTTATAACATTCGTATGGTTTCCTGTGCGGCGGATTGGTGTTCTGCAGTAGCTGTGCCTGTGTCTCTGGAAGGGAAGATCTACTAAACGGCGGTTTAACCCTTTTATGCTGAGGGTGCCGTTACATTGCACTATGATGTGTATTCTTCTATTTAGACTTTAAATGCTGTCTATTACTTCAAGTGAACTATTATTCTAATAGGGGTAAGGAATTTATTTATTTCAAGCGCTCCACCAAGTGATCTCTGTTGGGGGCAATATCACCCACGAAGTTCACACCCCTTTTCACAATTTGTTTGTGTAGGATTGGGATACCTGCACGTGTGTAGTTCTGCTGATTGTTATTTGTATCACCACTAAGCGCCCTTTTACACAGAGCACTTCTTTTTTTGTAATATAACCCATTGTCTTCAGTAATCCTATCACAGGCAGAGGGGAGGATTTTGTGTGGGAGTGTCTGTGTGTATTATACGGATTGATTGGTTGTTCTGTAAAACCCTGTGGGCAGTGCTATGTTTGTGGATTGGGAATAAAAGAGGCTGTATGTGCCAGTACAGTCAGATTCTGCTTGACCCTCAAACGAAGTGTCGTCTCGTTATTGGGGGAATTGGATTGTATGCTGACTGCCAGGAGTGTAAGCTGATTGTATGCTTTTCCTGTTCAGCTGCTTACAGCATTCATATGCTTGAGAGCATTCGTATGCTTCTCCGGTTCGGTGGTTGTGGTCTCTGCTGCAGTGCTTGGAGTCCTCAGGAAGCGCTAGGAGCATCCTTCAACTGAGGTACCCAGTCGGGGTGCCAGGTAACCCGTTACAGTAACCTTATGCCAGCCAGTATCCAGTGGGCTGCCAATATCCACCTTATAGCTCATACCCACTAGGCACCCTGTAACCACTAGACTGTGAGGCAACAAGTAATCACTATTAGTTTAGGCCTAATTAGTCCTAATATGAATTGTTTCTGATATAAGTTGGGTCATCTCATTATTGCAATAACCTTGTGGCACAAGTAAAGTTTAGCTCAAATCTAAATATGCAAATATCCACCATATGTAAACCCCTTGAAGTTTACAGATAATTATATTTGTGTTTACAGCATTCCTGTCACCTTCTGGGGTCTTTGCTTATTTAGATCCCGAATGGTGACGGTACTACTTGGATTCCAGTGGCCGCTGGGTACACGGGTAGGAATTTTTACTTAACTGAACTGTCCCTCTTGACCGCCGCCATCTCCTTCTGCAAGGTCCTCTTCGGTTCCTGGCACTTCTTCTGACAGGAGACGACATTAGCGCTAGCGGAATCCTCAATGGAAAGAGCCTTTTCCCCCTCAGCCGTCACTTTTGTCAGGCTTTGTCAAGTGTAGGAAAAATACTAAGAGATATACTGAGGGACTACTAGTATTGACTACTTTGTCTTTGTATATTTCCTTCCACTGACACTTCCATAGACTGGGCAGAGTTACTGCCATCTAGAAGTGTCAATCCTCCCAGCCATCACCAGTGATGGCTGCAGGGAATTGGTTTTATCAAGGGAATTGGTTTATTGCGTAGACTTGCAAAGCCTAATAGGCCGTCTGAGCATGCTGGAAGCCGACTCCTGCTGAAACACGCAAAACACGACGCAGCTGCAAAAAGCAGTACAGGACCTCCAACAGCAAACCCACATAATGGACCAGCAGTTCGCAGACCTGGAGGATCAGAGGCAAAGCCTGAACCTCAAGATCAGGGGCATAGGTGAGGAGATAACGGAGGCGGAGGTACCGCACTTCATCCGGCGCCTGCTGTCTGCTCTCCTGCCCCCTAGACAGGCCAAACAATCAGCCCTGGGGGGGATGTTCTGCCTCCCACGACCAGCTAAAGCCCTGTCAGCAGCAGCAAGAGACCTCCTGGTGTGCTTCCTGAGCCACGGAGACAGATCAGCGGTCTTTCAAGCGAGGAGAACCCAAAAGCCGTATGTGTTTGAGAGTATGCAGCTCTCATTCTACACTGATTTATCAGAGGCAACCCTGGCCTGGCACTGCACAATGAAACTCTTCATGGCTCTCCTTCACCTGCACAAAATTAAACACCAATGGAGGCGAATCCAGGCACTTTTAATCCACCATAGCGACACATCATTCAAGATCCAAGACATGCAGGGTGCCACAGATCTTCTGTCAACCCTGGGACTGCAACAGGACTCTCTGTCAACTGTGGGACCAAACCACCTAGCGGCACTGCCAACAACAAGTGACCCTACGAAGGTGACACCGTTCGTCCCCCGATGGCTGGAGTGTGAGCCTCCACAGCGCCACGACCTGATGAATCCAAGGACTAATACTTACCTTTTAACAGCCCTCTTGTTACACGGGCATGCTATTTATGTCGATCGGGACTCATCTCTCTCCAATGTTTATGTTAGCAAGTGTTCAGGTTAATTGCACTGCTGAAACATTTCTCCTTTCCTACCCCCCTCTTCCCCGGGGAAATGGGGTATAATTACAAAACAGGAGCACAACGTCTAAATGCCCACACTATAGAGAACACACTCCCCATATAATCCAGTTTGCCAAATTGAACCATAACACTATTATTGTACTATAGCACATTCAGCCTAAATGCCCTTAGCAATTCCAAATCCTTCGGCCATAAGGACACACTCCTAGGCACGCTAGGCTTAAGTATAAGCGCTGTCCCCCACTACCCAAAACTAAATTCCCTCAGCTCCTGGTCCTATGCCAATCTATGTTAGACACCCTGTCTGTTTTGCTGTACGGTATGTGTTTTATGACATGCATAAGTTGTTTTCCTTCAGTAACATATTTTTTTTTATTGAGACTATGACCTGAGTCAAAAATAAAGAATAAAAAAAAAAGGATTCCAGGACAAATAAAGTCTATGAGTGAAGTCACCATTTGCTGACAAACTAAAGAGGAAGATGTTCCACGTCCAATTCAAAGCCTGGGCTGGATTCTTGTGATACACCACAAAGAATGCATAATAGTCAACCAAAGCCACCTGCATATGGTGAAAAAGGTGGTATACCTACAATTCCCAATAGTAAGTACTGTTAATAGGACATTACGTATATGGACAGGGCATTAAGTATATGGATATATGGTTAGTTAAATAGCAAGGTTGGTGGTCTTTGAAAGATCTAGTTCCCATTGTTTTGTCTTCATCTTAGTATAGGCCATGAAATAAATCGTAGAATTAATGCCAGAAACTGAAACTCTTCAGATGACAGTTTTAAGATCAACAAGACAGTAATATTACATATTCTTCTTCAGCACAGATTAAAGGAATATAAGCAACAGGCAACAATACTGCCAGCTGGGGCCATAAAATATGGCTTTTCAACTATTCCTTAGCATCTACTCAATCAGCACATCTTTCCTTATTACACACATACACAACTGTCACTATCCTCAATGGAAATGGGGAAAAGTCACAGTTAAAGCTTTGATCCAGTAGGGTTATGCTGTAATGCCATGTTCCCTGCTGCAACACTGTACCGTGATCGGAATGCATCATTGTACAAACTCCCATTGTATCCTTGACCACATGGAATAGGCCCTACAGCTAGAGAGAGCTGTATTTGTAAATGAGTGTGAAATTAATTAGTTCCCCAGGTGATGTCCTTAAAAATGTCTCTTCATTTACACTGTGAAATGAAAAAAAAGATAACTTTGATGAAATAATATTTAAGTGCAGGGGAATAAAAAACTAATCAATATGAGGTTGACATCAAATAACAGAGACAGGAGTCTGTACAATGAAAATCTATCTACATTAGGCCTTGGACCTCATTTATTAAACAGGTACAAGAGATGCATTGACAAACAATTTACAAATTTTGGGTTGACATAAGATGGACCCAGCAGGCACATTCAATTGGTGACTCCTCCACTTTAAATTTTTGCACCGCTTTTTAGAACAGAACACTCTGTTAATACCAACTTTTTTTTTTAAATTCTTTATTTCTGTGTGCATGAATGGACAAAGCAGCTCACAATGCCACAGTAGCATATGCAAGCCTGGCAATATTACAGCGTTTTTACAAGTATGGCATTTAAGTATTGGCACATTTTTAAGTATAGAGATAAACAGGCTTGGGTTGCCACAATAGTAAGTACTAGCTAGAGAGACAATACATATTAAGCATTTGCATGGCAATAGCTAACAGCGCGATTTTTAGTAGTTCAAAATAGTGAAACAAGCTTTATGAGGGTGTCAGAAGCGTAAAATCAGGAATATTTTCTAAACAGCTTACATGGACTGACTGTAAAAGTGGTCTGGACAAGAGACGGTAGCCTAGGTACATCAGGAGTATCGTAGGGAACATGTCAGTGGGGAGTTAAGGGAACACAGGGAGTGTATTTCGCTATAGTAGCTGACATTTCCATTGATAATATCACCACTGGCCTTGTGACTGGGTGAAGTCCTCTGGAGCTAAGTGTAACCCGTGACAGATGGGGTAGTTCGGGAGGCAGTGGGCATGCTAATCTCAGAGGGAACTTAGAACGAATACATGCCCACTGTACACAATACCCGCTCAACCTATTCCAGTGATCGGCAAGTTGACAGCGCACACTAATAGTTCATAGAGGCCAAGTGTCCCGTTCACAGGTACGTGCCGCCTGGAGTGAGGATCCGTCACGCAGCTGGGGAGAGTCGGGCACAAGGTTGCAATTCTATGCTTGCGTATAGTTCCTTTCTGGCCCCCGGCCCGTGAGAGATCTTGCGCTGGTCGAAGAGTTGAGCCCTGCAGGCGGTCGTGATGAGGTTTAGGTGAGCTGCGGATGCCAGCAGCGCTGAGCCTCCGTGAATTAGGTACACGCCGCTTCTTCCTCCTCCTCCTTCTTGCTGTTGGAGCAATGTCGTGGCCATGTACAGCAGGCTGTGGGTTGAGGGCTCTTCTAGGGTTTGTTAGAACGGAGCTTTTGGCCGCCTCCCTCTCTGCTTTTTGGCCCATTGTAGCCCAGAATTGAGACCGGAAGCACTCGAAGGCCTTTTCTATCCGCGCCTCGTGGAAGGCCTTGGTTGTTGTGGCAGCCATCTTGCAAAGTTGGCCATGGTGATTTGGGCGCACAGGTAATGCCGCTGTTTGCTCTCAATGGTTGCGTTCCACTGCCTTAAGTCAGTCCACCAGTGCACCGGTCCAGAGGGGGGGATATCAGGGCACAGCGATAAGCAGGAGCTGAGTGAGGTGGAGGAGCGGCCATCTCCACCACCCCAACGCAGTAGGCCTCGAATGCTGGCAGTGCTGGTATCACACCGCCTGTTGTCTTCTACGCGTTCACCCTGCTTGCCTCGCGTGGGTTAGTAGCTAGGGCAGAATTATTGTCGAAGATTCGGGTCAAAATCCCCGGTTTATGGTCAGGTCTGCTGCCAGGCCCCGCCCCCAATACCAATGTTTTTATTCTCCTGCTCATTTGCATTGTGTGCCCTGGATCTGCCTGGACTGGACTGCATTGTGGTGTCATTTTCATATATATTTTAAAAGGAAACAGAGCATCTCATGAAAAAGGTTAAATGTGCTTTTTAGTGTTTTAATCGAGGGTATAATTTAATTTCCATATAGAGTTATTGTTTTAGAGTGAAACCCTGTGATGCTCTTGCATATTCTTTTTTTTTACCTTTACTTTTATTTTTAAATAAAACACATTCAACCACTTTTATAGAGAAGTTAATAAAGGTTTCTGCTAATTGCTCCACAGTAAGAACTCTGTCACAGAATTGCTTTTTATAGACTTTCTCCATTCAGTGGTGCATGAATCCCCAAAAATCTGGGGGACCATTTTCGTACTTCACAGAAACAAATGGTGCCCTTTTAGAGTATACATCAAACCTCACAGTTTTGTCCAGGGAAAAATGGCACACCGCATTAAGTTGTAAGTAACATTATTTTTGTGTTTGTATGTACCAAGTATGAGCTTAGGAAAATATTTATGGTAGTAAAAGAGGGAGTTTGAAAGAAAAGAAAAAAGAATGGGTTATATGTTGATATTAGTCTAATTAAGTAACTTTACCTCACTCTTAGAACATACTGGTATATAACAACGCAATTGCTAACAAAAAATCACACCACAAAAATTAAAATACATCAGTTTTCAAGTATCAGCGCTATGTGAAAATCAATACATTCCTTTAATTTTTTTTGTCTGGTATAACCAGTGGTGGTTTAATTGTTAGAACTTCACGATAGAAGTAGTGTGCCTCCGTTCATCCCTTTCACAAAATTATCTGGGGATCCATCCCTAAACATCCCTAACCTCCTACACCCATGTCTCCAGATGTCAATGGTTAGAGATTGTTTGCACAGCAAATGCCCGTTGTAGGAATGATGGAAAGCAAGTGGGACAGGCGTCTTTAAGTTCTTGTAACATCTAGCATGCTGTGCAGTTTAGGACAAAATGGTAACTTGAGAAACATAGAGAAGATATTGGTTTTCTCAATGCCACCGTAGTAACTTATGCACACAGTGAAGAAGTCACAATTCAAAATTTTACCCTTGTGGCAATTGCTCTGTGCCACGTGTAGCTGGTAGAGTGGATCTGCGTTGGTCCGCACAAATCACTGTGTATTAAAGGAATGCAGAATAAATAACGGTTCAGGCACTCCTGGATAACAGAAAAAGAAGCTTTATTGGGGCAAAAGCAGAAATGTTTTGACCCTACCGGTATGGTCGAAACCTTGGTGCTTTTGCCCCAATAAAGCAGCTATTTCTGTTATATATATTGGAAGGGAGGCCTGGCCTGCCCTGACTTCGGAGCACCTGGGTTATTTGGTGAGTGCGGTATCCAGTAGGTCTCTACTGTGTGTTAAAGGAAGGCGTCAGTAGCAACAGTGCCCGCAATGATGGCAGATCTTTGGTGGCAACATAGTCAAAGGAAACTAGAAGGGGGTAAAAAAAAACAGATACATTATGTTCATGTAACTTGGAGATTAAGTGTGCTAATGTGTGTCAGTTACTGATTTAACATCTTTCAAAGTAAAAGTTTATTTTATGCATGCGATAATAACAAATGTTAAAGGTTTTTACAATATTCGTGCGTCTATCTGCTTTGATGTCTGCGATGTTGTGTGATTGTGAAAGCTGTGAAAGAAGAAAGCAGGCCAGGGGGTAGAAATTTTAGTGTCTGTTGAACAAACCAATTTCCCATAGCAAGGACATTTTCTCCGAACCATGAAAATGGAATTCTATCTGGAGACCATGCATTTAACTACATGAGCACTGAAATTGATTAATGAAGAATATTAATACATGTACAGTTTTGCTACATGAATGTTGGTTCTTTTTATGCATTGTTTTGCTATATGAATGGCCACTTATTAAATGCACACAGTTTGCCATTATAATGTCAGCTCACTCTAAGCATTATTTTGATGCATGAATATCAAGTCACATTTTGTTTTCAGTCTACGTCTATGTATTGTTTTGCTATACGAATGTCAATGCATCGTGTCTCTATATGAATGTCAGCTGACTTTGGCCTCCTATTCATTAAAAGAATGCTGGTTCACTCTATGCAGGTTTGTGGTGGTGAAGTAATCCTCGTGATAACCAATGGAATGTTCCTACAAATGGAACAATTTTAACACTTTTGCCCCATAAATAATAATAATATTAATTTTGTTATTTGGTATTTATGCTGCACTGTTGTACAATAGAGGGAATACAGACAATGAACAGGTACAGATACAACACCACCAGTAGACCTTGCCCATGAGCTTACAATCTAGCAAATAAGGTAGTTTTATTCAAAGTGCTTAGCAAGGAAGTTCACGAGCTTACATAAACCATATGTTTGGCTTTGCTATATCAATAACAATTCCCCCTTGCTTTGTTTCCCTATAAAAAGACTAAAAACATAAAGCGCAAAATATAAAAATAATAAAAAAAATTGTTAAAAAGAAAGAAAATTAGTAAGGATAAGCTATGGAAATATGCAAAACTCCCTAGACGTTTATCACAACTTTTTCATAGTACACCACACTCCGAAGACTCGCAAATAAATCAGTTAGAAGCATATCTGTGCTGTGTGAATTTATTGACAAATTTTCAAAACATGGCTCATCCCGACCCATATGTCTGACATGGATATAGTCCCATCCAACTTAAATACAAGGAACTTTATTTTGACTTTTTAATGATATTAGTTTTTAGTGATAAATAAGTGATCCTACATCCCCAGATCTGATGCATGATTATTGTGAAAAAAATATATATATAATTGTTTACATTAGAGAAATTATGATATCCACCCCTATGGTGATAAAGTTCCATAAAAAGATTACATTTCACCTGAATTCACACAGGTAAATTGTAAGCCCTGTCTCACAAATGATGTTGCAGGCCAGAGAAATTAATTTTGACGGCAAACGTTTTTATTCTCTATAAATTTTACTCAATGGGAAAAGCTTAAAATGTATACATTTATTCATATACTAGGATCATTTAAGCCTGATACACCTGACTTTAGTCCATGTAACATTTTATTGTTTATTTCCAGACTAAAGCAATCAATCCCTAACTTTAATATTCAAGAACTTACCAAACGAAATAAAAAAGAAACAGAACTTATAGAGCAGAAAGGAACGAATTGTATAGAAAGAAACTATTATTGTCAAAACAGCATAAGGAGTTTATCCTGACTTCTATGCAGTCAATTGTTTCAAAAAATGGTTTCTTCACAAATGAAAATCATGGATCTTAATGCTACAAGGCTCATTCCTAAAATCTTATGTCTCATCATCATCTTTCAGACCACATAAAATATAAGCTTCTTTAACATAAACTATAAACCAGATTCCCCCCCCCCCCAAGATATAAATGTATCCATTCTTAATGCGGTGTACACAACATGCACCCTGTTGCATTTCTTAATCAAATATTGGTGTTAATATCATATAGAAACAATATTTAATTGAATATATACCAATTAATCAGGATACATTTAATATTCAATGTTGTAAGTTAAGTCACATATGCACAGTAAACCTCAAAATATAGGAGGGTCCATTTAGATCAGTATGTGAAGACTTTGGCTGTCTAAATACACAATTCGGTATATTTGGCCCAAGACACAAAATTGAATTCAGTGTATGCCATTGACATTGACTAATCATCGCTTGCGCTTGAGGACACACATATAATATTCCTTGACATGTGCATAGGGAGAAGCATCACAAAATTCCTGCCATTTCTATCGAGCATGATGTGATATTATTTAGATTCCGAAATTATAAATCAACGTACGATAGATCCAAAATTCAGTTTCTATCTGTTCCTGCTCATTATTTTCCTTAGCACACTAAGAGCTCACTTTTTGGGAATATAAAGCAATTATAAAGCAATTATTTTCTAAAATTAAATAATGTCTTGATTTTACATATGAGATGCCTTGTTATGCTTTATATTAGACTACTGTAAACCTTTTTAAATAGACAATGATTTTACATTGTGTTTACAATTTGTAAATTAACCATCTTATATATGCTGATTGGGTATTAAAATTCACATGATTTCCATTTTAATAAATGGTACAATACCTCCTAGATTAAATTATTTTGGTGAAGTGATGGCAAAATATGGGATGTACAACAATAAAAAAAAATCCTCAAAGTTAATTAAAATCTGCAATACAAGTATAAACACCACACTGAAGATGTACAGGAAAAAACATTTATCTGCGTTATACAAAGAATTCATATCGACCGGAAATCAAATTATATGTCTTCTCAATTTTATTGTAGATTATTAAAGGGACACCATAGTCACCAAAACAACTTTAGCTTGAAGAAGCCATTTTGGTGTATATATCATGCACCTGCAGTCTCAATGCTCAATTTTCTGCAGTTTAGGAATTAAAGCACTTTGTTTATGCACCATAGTCACACCTGCCTGCATGTGACTTGAACAGCCTTCCTAAACACTTCCTGTAAAGAGTCATCTAATGTTTACTTCCTTTCTTGCAAATTATGTTTAATTTAAAAATACTTATCCACTGCACTGTTAATAGCTTGCTAGACCCTATAAGAGCCTCCTGTGTGTGATTAAACGTCAATTTAGGGAGCAGAAGATCCAAACTTTCAAAGTAAGTTACATCTGATTAAAAGTGAAACCATATTTTTTTTCATCCAAGCTGTGTGAGTCACAGCCCGGGACGTGTGGCTATGGCTACATGGACAGAAACAAAAGTGATTTAACTTCTAAATGGCAGTGAATTGAGTAGTGAAACTACAGAGGCATGATCCATACACCAAAACTGCTTCACTAAGCTAAAGTTGTTTTGGTGACTACAGTGTCCCTTTAATGTTTAATAACTCCAAGTTTAAACCTTTAGGCATCCTGTAAGGTAAAAACCCAGAATGCTTATTTTTTTACAAGAATCTTTTGCAAGTTTCCACCTATAGGACCTAATCTACACCCCTGGATACCATGAAACCTGAAAAATGATAAGTAACTCCTGCACACATTTAAAAGTGTCTAGAAACTGATGTTTGTTTGTCTATGTCTGATTTTATGCTGTAAACACTCCCTAGAGCGTTTACTGTAACTGCAAAACATGTCAACACATCAGTACTTCAAGGTTTAAATCTAGAAATAACCATAAATTAAAAAAACAACTAAATAAATGCATAGTGCATGGAAAGAACTGAGTTAAAACAGTTGTATATCTCCTTTTACAAATTCAAATAGAAACAAGCAGATAAGGTTTACCATGTAGTATATTTAATATTATCTGAGTTCAGATAAGTAGATAGAGCTACCAATTTGTTGCTGCTCTCATGTCTACCTTCAATAATGCATTTTTCCTTAACCCCTTAAGGACCAAACGTCTGGAATAAAAGGGAATCATGACATGTCACACATGTCACTTGTCCTCAAGGGGTTAATAGGACATTCTGGACACCATAACAACTTCATCAAAAAGCCTATCAGTAGTTCCCCACTCAGAATAGTGAGTGAAAAAGACAAACTTTTCTGAATTGCGAGCTTGCGGTAGACTGAGAGCGTCAGCTGACACTTTGAGCCTATAAGAGGCTCCTGCTCTAAAGCGTTAAGAGTTTAACCCCTTCAGGTAATATGGTGCCCAAAGTGATCCTTAAAGGAGTTGGAAGTGAGAGCAGTGCAGAAATATTGGTAAGTAATAAGAAAGATATCTAATATCCCCTGTGTGGGAAATATTCCTAACAAGGGTGGTCAGTGTGAGTGGTACCCACCCACTCTGTGCATGGACCCTAAACGCGTAATATAGAAAGAAAAAAAATAAGGAAATTCTCCTCAGAGAAATTCCTCTTGGGTACTCTTGTGCAGAGGGAACTTGCAGGCATTTCGGATCTGGACTGCCCGTATGGTTACTACCAGTCTGATATGCTTCAGATATGTTCTCTCTGAAATGGCACAAGTTGAGCTAAAACCAGCTTGAGATCTAAGCGGGCACCGAAGGGCAGGTTAATTGAGCTGTTGTCCGTTCTCACCTCTCTTGCTACTTATTTTTCTCTCCTTAAGTTTAAAGGGCAATCCAGATGTGGACCCCTTGCTTACGGTGCCTAGAGGGATATTGGCTATACCTAACCTCACTGATGATACCTTACAAGGTTGAAACGATCATCTGGGGTTGTCGTATCTCTCATGCAGAGGGAACTTGCTGGTATTTCGGATCTGGACTAAACGTATGGGTGGGACCAGTCTGATATGCTTCAGATATGTTC